AACACTGAGGGAACGGCCCCTCTGCCTTGGCCCTGGCCCAGGCCAGCCGGGAACCAATGTACAATTTTGTGGTGGCCAAGACAGTCTTAGCTCCACAAGGCTGTCTGGAAACAGCGAGGAACCAGGAGAACCTTGAGCAGCAGCCTTGAGGAAGTGAGGCTGGGCTTGGTGCCGTGGGTGCTCAAGGCCAGGCTGGGCATTTGACCTCTGCTTCCCAGGGCTCCGGGCAGCCCGCACCACCATCCAGCCCCCTGAGGGGAGAGGAACAGTGAGGCTCCTCCAGTGGACCATGCCTTGGCACTTGCCCTGGTCCCACCCCCTTCTGCCAGAGACCTCAGATCTGTCCCACTCCTGCCCAGGCCCCCACAGACACCCTTGACGTGAACGATGTAGAGCTGGCCATGCCCACCCAGTAGGCCACACCCACCCCGACCACACCCACCCAGCCCCCTGAGGGCAACCGCAATGCTGATGCAGCCCTCAATGAAATTGAGTTTGACACCCCTGCTCTAGAACAATGTTTCTCAACCTTGGCAATATTAAGATGTGTGGATTTCAGCACTCAGAATCCCCCAGCCAGCCTGGCTTGGGAATTCTGGAACTTGAAGGCCACACATTTTAAAAGCTGCCAAGGTTGATAAACAATGCTGTAGAAGTTCACAGAAAGGAAAAGGAAGGTAGTGGGAATTTATCAGTAGTATTTGCCAATGTTTCTTGGCTGAGCTATCTCAGTATGTACCCTGCTTCCTAAGCCATGATTCTCTTCAAGCCAGTTTAGAGAATGGGGCACTGAAGTAGTATATCATTGTTTACTCTGATCTGCATGCAACCTGCTGGCTCTTCCAATTCAGGCTACTGGCTATTCCAGGGAACACCCCCCCCCCAAAAAAAATAATAATCCTGAAATCTAAGGAAGCAACATTCATTTGAAGCTAAGTTCAAATCTTGTAAGTTGTAACAGCCTCCTTTGGGCTGTATCTGCAAGACCAATTCAGTGAAGGACCTGTCAATGTCACAGAATGGGCTAGTCTGTTAAAGAGAAGCCTGGCCTCTGATGACACAAAGGGGATGTTCTCTGGAGCAAGGAAAGTCTTGCAAAAAGGATAAGAGCAAAGACCTAGCCACACATCTTCTGCAACTTCCCCTCAAGCGACTTCAGTGAGGGATAGAAAATCTCAAAATCATTTTTTTTCTTCTCTCCTTGGCTAGCCAAACAGTCTGGATTTTATGTCTGCCCAATGTGAGTTATTGGGAGGGTCATCCCCTCACCCAGGGACAAGTTCAAAATAGCTTTCTAAATTCTGGTTGTTTTAAGGCTATCCTTAAAAATATCTCCTTCAGCAATTGAGAGAGGAATGGAAGGAAGCTACCTCATGATCACTGTCTTATAATAACCCCATGTTAACTCCAATACATGCCATGATACACTCCAATACAGCCTCTTGTAGAAGCCTAAAATGATGCCGTATTGGAATTTCAGGGATGAAATCCTCTAAGGATAAGGAAGAGGGTTCAGTTGCATTGGCGGCTTTTTTACAATAGATTTTAGGGGTGTAGTGTTACAATGCATTATTCCCTGGCTGTATTTTTATATAGGCAACATATAACATATGGCAACACCACTGCCATCCTGATCTTCAATTGAATATTTTCTACAAAATTGTTAATTTATTTTGATGGATTTCATAGCCTAGCTAGATGGGGCAGGGAGTTTAAAGAGCTAGCTATAAAACAACTCACATAATACTGAGCCATGTCATAACCCACCCACCCCCCAAAATTAAAAAAAAACAGTCCACAGTCTTTCATCAATGTTGCCAGGATCAGACAGAGGCATCCAGGATTACAATAAGCCATTAATTGATGAGGATCTGATCTGGCCACAAGGAATCAAAATACCACGAATAGACAGTTCTTGTTATTGAACTAAAACCATGAAGCAAGTTGTTTCAGTAATATTTCAGCCTCTTGAGTAATCTTAAATGTTTCAGTCCCCTGCATACCCCATACAGGTACAAACAAAAATTCATTAACCTTGATTTTTGCTCAGATTCAGCCACACAAAGCTTCATCTCAAGTTTCATCAGACTTTCTCAAATGTAGCCACTCCCTGCTAGGCTAGTCTCTAGATCAGGGGTGTCAAACTCGTAATGTCATGGGATGTATCGCAACTTTTTTGCCATTGCCGGCGATGGGGTGTGTGTGGTTTCACTATGATGCATCTGGCCCACGGACCGGCAGTTTGACATCCCTGCTCTAGATCCTTCCCATTGCTTTCTGCATTCACAAGCCTTGGGAAGTCCACCTCTGAATCCTTAGCATTAGCTTCAGGAATTATGAAACTTATATCTAGTTTTTCAGAAGCCACATTCCTCAGCTTGAAACTCTTTTGAGAACACTAATATTAATCATTGTCTGGCTCTCAGAGTAGGATTCATTTACTGGAACAGCCCTAAAATCATTTTTTATACTTGGTCTAAGAGTTTCAGCCTATTTGTACAGTTTGGCATAGGAGGACTCAAATTGTTTGGTTAAATTTTATCTTCATTGAAATAATTATGGGAGCATCATGGAAAAGATGTACATGAAAAATGCAAATTATCTGTAAATAGGAGTGAGTGTTTATGTGTGGATTTCACATTTTTTAAAAATCTGCTAGAGTCCTGCGCGTCAACCAAGTTATATGTCAATTTTTCTCTATGTACCTTTCTGTTTGAAACCATACAATAACTACAAAGTATTGTAGGAATATCAGCTTATGTACAGAATATCATCTTTATTTCTTTGTCTCTGACTAGTAACAATTCTTTCCATGATTTATTTCAAAATATATGCTGTATTTTCATTCCACTAAAGTAGCTGGAGACTCAGTTTGTGGATTAGCTCAGAATAAATTCTTCAAGAATGTAGTGTCACATGTATTTTTAACAAGAAAATTGTCATTTTTAAATTAACAACCTTAAAAGAAATGTGTCTATGCACAACCAATAAAACAGATTTCATAATTCTAAGTGTCTAATCAGATAGATTTCAATTTAACAAAATTATTTAGGAAATAATTTCAGTAAGATGGCTCTTTAATTTGCTAAGGCAAATCTATTAGTGTTGTGAAGCCATCTTGCCTTGAAAATACTCCAAACAGCCAGCTGCTCTTTCAGACATTCAGTCCAACATCTTTTCTTAGCTTCAAGCGGGAGCACGTAGAGGCCACAAGGGAAATTCTCCCAAAGTACCCTTCCTTTAATGTAGAAAAAAAGGATTTCTGTATTTAAAATCAGGCAGATGTTGAATAAGAGGCTGGAAAGAGTGGGACTTACCATTTCCCTTCAGTCTCAGATTTAAATTGGTATTTGTAGGAAACAAGATTTTCCAGGTAACAAATTAACAGAGAAATAACATCTGTTCCAAGGCTAGTTTGGTCTTTAGAGGAATAGGGAAAATTTACCTAAGAAATGTGCTAAATTTAATTTATTCTATGCTTCTGGTACATAATATTTATGTATTGTGTCTTTGGTATTTATGTTCTGTGTACATGCCCAGTAAATTGTGGTATTTTTATGCATCTTGGTACCTCTTTAGCAGAGTTCCTTTAAGTTAGGGGCAATCAATATCATAATGTATCTGCTCAGAGGATCAGATTTCTGATCTAAAAAAATAATACTTTTTACTTCCCTTGACACTGAATGGATACTTAGAGCTAAAAAGGAACTACATTTTTCCTTTTTTCCTTTTTAATAAAATTGTATTCTGTTTTATTTTGTGAGATTGATCTGGCTCTCAAAGGAGATGGAGATGATTTCCCTAGCTACACATGTTCACACCCTAGATTCAGGAAGTACTGGAGTAGAATTTATTTCATTTTGCCGTCTTTTTGCCTTTGTAGTGCCAGTCCTTGCTTTCTTATTTACATATGTTAGCAGGGAAGACAGCGTGTAAAGGCTCCTGTCTAGAAATTAAGTAGAAGCTGTAATTATAACAGTACTTCTGCAAGGTAGGTGGAGAATGTAGGTTGTGTAGACCCAGAGGCTTTCTGGAAAAGGAGACTAAGATCTCCAAGCTTTTATCCAATGGGCCCAACTCTGCTGTTACTATAAGCAACATTGCTAGCATTTTTTTCCTGAATGAGACTATCAAGTGCCTAATATACCTTTATTGGTCCATAGCTTTGTCTAACATAGGGCACTGCTTGATGTTACTTTGAAGGACATACCTCTGTTTGTATATTTCATTTATTTGAAAAATATGTTCAAAATTGGAATGGATGAAATTTTCAAAGGAAAAGTATGATTTAGAAACGTGAAAGTTCATGTTAAACTGAAGCTTCTTTCCCTCTCTGTAGCAGAAAACTACAAACGGGTGATAGAAAAGATTTTAGCAATTAGAGTTTGTATTTTTTCTAAAAATACCTGTTCTAGTTATTTGTAGGAACAACACTGTAGCAATTTCTATAACCAATTGAACTATTTTCATGGAATATCGGGGAGGGGGAGGGGAGGAGAGGAGGAGAGAGGAGAGAGGAGGGGAGGGGAGGTAAGGGGAGAGAAGGGGAGGGGAGGAGAGAGGGAAGGGGGAGAGAGGGAAGTGGAGGAAAGGAGAAAGGGAAGGGAAGGGAAGATACCTGGATTATTCCCATGAAAATGTGAAGCAATAAAAAAATAAT